GATATAATTTTACACCTGAAGATGGTTCGATGAAACCGAAACATGTTGTAAAAATGTTCCAAATGTAAATCGATTATTCGATGTGGAACATAAAATGATATTTTAATTATCTTATTTGTAAATTTTAAATATAATTGTGATTAGACGGACAAAACCGAATAATTAATTCAAAGTCTTAAATTTAGACAGCTATGTTTCAAACAGTTGTGTGGTTAGTGCACATTCCCAGTTTCACTGTAAATTTATTCAAGATCCAACATTTGATGTCTTCTTCAGTGTTTCAACATCTTGTGCGTAATGTGTAGATCTATTTGTTAGCTTATCATTTCTCTAGGTGAATACTTTGTTTTGTATTATGTGAAATTTATATAATAGTACGAATTTTACTTTATAATATATATTGTATTATTATTATTTTTATTGTGACTTTTTCCACATCTATCTTCATCTGACTGTCTTATGGATCCATGAAATGTAAATAAATTATTATTATTATAGGAATTACTGTGCTTAATCTAAGTCCCTATAACTTGCATGTCACTTTGATGATGTTCACATGGCTTAAGTACACTTCTGCCATTACAATAATTTCATACAAATAGAATAGCATTAAGGTACGCCACAATATAGTCAATAAAAATATACTCTGCCACATTTATTGATTGTGCGTTACGGAACGGACATAATTAATTTAAACTGTGTCCAGTCTGAATTAATTAGTATCTTATACGAAGTGTTCAAATGTAGAGCTTGGATGAAAATGTAATGGTTTAAAGAAAAACGTCCATATATGGGGATTAAATGTAAGATGCTGGTATATGAGGCTGTGTACCTTGGCATTAGTGCAGTTGAGCAATGGAAGGTTAATGAATTTCATAAAGGTTCACAACATGATAAGAGTTTATGTCCTGAAAATAATTAGTATAAATTTCCAGGCATGCAGTGTTCTAATTCTGAAGTCCTGAAATTATGATATCAGAAGTTTGCAAGTTTCAGTCTGGAATCTTCCAGTGTAAAGACTCTCTCCTGTTTTGTGTGTTTGGTGCACAAGAAATGTGCTATCTAACAGAATTATGTTTAATTCATAATTTTACAGCAGGAAATTGATATGATCAAAGTAGAAAATAATATGGATGTTCTGAGTGAAGAAGATCCCATTGGTATCAACACTGACGAGGTTTACATACCATCGACATTTTCTGTAAAGAATTTTGAACCGGAAGTAAGCATTGCTGTTAGCTTTCATTTGCATGAAATGGTTACAATGAAACAACTTTTCTTCAGCTTAATAATGTTGCAGTTTTGTGCTCTGAACTGGATCACAGGTTCGAAGTGAATAGTCTATTGATTATCTTCACCTACTAAGTGATAACAATCGGACATAGTCGTAAAGAATGTCTGTTCCATTTCATGTAATGGGAGGGAATAGCATTGACTGATACATGTGTGGTGGTTCTACAGAACTGCACAGATTCACCGAAAGATGTACCTGGTTCAGATGGTGAGACGTGTCACGATAGAAATCAGGTCGTCGGTATAAACACAGAGGATGTCACAGATATATAAGTTGAGAAACACTCTGTGCCAGTAACACAGGTTGTCTTATTTTCACTGCCGAGAACATTTTTTACAAGTACACAAAGTCACTTTTGTAGGATCTGAGTTTTTCACAGAGGTGAGTCTGATGATGACTGTCTTCTAGGTTGTAGCACCGTGTAGTCTGGTAGAAGTTTACCAGCGTTTCAGAGCTCCTTGCTGCCTCCGTCGTCAGGGCGATGAGTTGGTAACCTGTCAGATTACACGGTGCTACAACCCAGAAGACGGCCATCTTCAAACACACTATTGAGTTTTTCATCTGTTGTTCTGTCTGTCCATCCAGAGCAAATGACCCACTTCTGGTGAATAGATTTTGAAGAGTGCTTTCCAAAATGTGTTCAGTGGATTATGTTTTGTTGCACATTGCTTATAGAGTACTAGTTTCAATCAGTCTTTAATTTAGGAAAGTAATTAAATATTGAGTAGATTATGAAATGTTTTAAACAGTGTTATAACCACAAGAACATTGTGTTTCTTCATCCCCTCCATTAACCCTTTGAAACCAAAGCTCATCTGAATAATTTTGAAGAATTCATTCCGTATCACTAAGAAAGCACAACTCTTCAACATTACAAAGATAGCTGGTTATGTTAGGTTATGTTAGGTTGGTTAGGTTAGGTTAGGGTAAGGAAATAATTGCTGTTTGTTAAAGTAGGTGGCGCATGTAGTTACAACTGGGCTTTAAATTGTTAAGCATTGTTTTGATAGTACATCCTGCCACTGAACATAGTTTTCAGGACAGTAGACTGATCGACACCCATTTCTTCAATACCTGTTGGAAATCTTGGGTCTGCAGAAGACTAACATCTGTAAGTATAATAATGACAACCGGAAGATGGGAACAGAACCAATATTCAAAACACTGTTTATATCAAATATAATTCAGACAACACACAATGTCCAGATTGTATCATCAGTCTGCTACTGTCATCATTGCTTAGAGAATCATCAGTTGTCCTGTTATAGACCCAGAACAGTAATGATAACTCTATCCTGCTGTGTAGGTACATAGCGTAACAAAGTTATGAAGTTCGATCTGCCAACATTCATAGATTCTGAAAATGGATCTGCAGTAAGTGACACTGATATTAGGGTAAGCTGAGTTACCAGACTGCACTTACAGTGAATCTTGCCTAGGATGATGAACCGTGTGGTTTAGTCTTTCCACTGGAATGAGGACTGTCTGTCTGTATGAGGTAGCCCTCTAGTGGCCTTTCCATCAACTTTGAGTTACAACTGACCAGATGTTCAATCCTTTAATGGTCCTGTAATTTCCTCTTTTCATGTTCCTTTTATCTTCTCTCTTTCGATGGCTTGACATTCCTTTGCCTGGTCCTGGTGGACCATCTTACAGGATGGGGTTGTTAATGGTTGCGTTGCTGCAAGCAGCCTCTTTGTGGGTGGCTGGCGTGGAGTGACACCATCATATATTGTGGTGGGGGGGGGGGTGTCTACATAACTGGGATTAAAGTTATGATGTACAGTTTTTGCTAGTAAGCCTTTATTGTAATTTTGTATAGTGGAGGGATATTGAAGGGAGAAATTATTTCCAAGTTGTTTGTATCATGTTTCAGTTGTAAATCTGTGTAACTGTATTTATTTTGGTTTTCCCTGGTAATTGTTGTCGTTGGTCCACCGCGAGCCGTAGTTGCGTTGTCTGTGCCTGTGAACTTTAACGGTGCGTGGGCTAAATACTCGATGATGATCTCTTGAGGTTGAGGCACGTTTGGGATTAGTGTCCCTTCAAGTGTAAACAGTTTTGTTTGTATGTATTATTTTATATTTCAATACAAGGTTTTAAGACTCTGAAATGCTGGTAAACTTCTACCAGATTACACAGCAAAACATCTGAAAAGGCAGTTATGTTTATTTAAGCTGATTTTGTGAAAATATATTAACAAGAGTAGCAACACTATATGCTGTTAGTCAAAATCCATCAAGACAACTGCATAACCTCACTTCCTGATACTTAAGTTCCCACACACAAATTAATTTAACTTCTGGTGTGCCAGTTTTTCTAACAAAATCTGACTGGGTCAAGAGAACTTCAGTTTGGACATTATGGTATGGAATGAGAATCTGAGAAGATGTGGCATAAGTGACATTTGGAGTCTTCCATGCATTGGAGACACGATGCCCCTGAACCTTGTTCCTACCAGGCTGTCATTCAGGAGTCCAACCGATGCATATTGAACTCAGACCTGACAAAGAAATTACCAACGGTCACTAGCCAGAAACTAAATGCATTAGCACATTTACAATATCTCGATAATTTTATAACCTAGCATTCATGTTATGTAAATTCTTCATGTACCACACAGAATTAACAGTTTAAACTAATATGGAGGCCCATGATTCTTGCAATATTTATAAAACACACCTTCCACTAAATTCTGGTCATGTGATGGGGTTTGGTAAGTAAAGTAAAGTTTGTCC